TGGTAACAGTAGTTTGGGTGAAAACACAATGCAAATGCCATAACAATAAAATTCATTGCCTGATAAAAACTAGAGCTGATTATTTATTTTCCAAATGGTGATACAAGACATTTAGAACTGACGTTTGATATTCTAGTCAGCTGTATTTCTCTTTTCGTACCAGACAGAAAAACCTGCCAGTGGGAAAATATTCCAGCCTTATATACATCACAAACATCTCAACACATTACAAGATGGGGGTTAACAAAGGAGCACCAACTTCAGAAGAGCTTTTGATGATCTGCTGCCAGCGCTGGGAGTCAGAAATACTTGCACGTACAAAATGCATATATAAAAAAAAGAATAAATAAAAAAAAAATATATATATATATATATATGCATTTTTTTGATTGTAATATAATAGAGGTGATGCCGCAAATCAATGAACATTGGATTTATAGATTTTTGTATCAATGTAATGAATTATCTTAATTTTTCACATATTTAATTGTTTTCCACCAGACCTGTGAAAACAGTTGTATAATTGTTGGGCAAGTGAGATCATCCTTGACAAAGAAAAAAATAAGGGAGGCAAATGAAAAGATGCTACTGACTTGTATTATGGATGTGTTGGATAGTAATGTCTAAGAACTAATGCCTGTTTACACCTCGGTATTAACATTTTAACATTTAGATTATCTGTAACCTGGTATTAAAAAGCGTTCTCATTACCTCAGTTCTGTCAGCATTATGATCAGATAAATGAGATCTAAAAGTCAGGCCGAAACACACTTATTACTATCATACTTTACATTACATTACATCATTTTTGTCTTTTAACTAATTTTTTGATTCAATTTATAAAATAATGATACACATTAGTATTGCAGTGTATTTTATGCAAGATTTCCCACAACACCAAGCTCACGATAAAGAGTCTGTGCTCCACTCACCACAATAAGTGTGAACTTGGTAATACATGTCCCAAATGTGTTAATTGACCATGAATGGCAGCAAATACAATTTATGTATTTGATTATCTGCATTTAAATGAGAGGACAAAGTCTGTGGTCTTGAGATCCCTTGTTTGTTTTTAATAATAAAAAACCATGGATCCACAATTCGTGAGCTGTGTGTGTGAAATCCTGTTTGTCTGATTACTTGTTCAGATGAACGCAGAGAGATAAAAGCAAAGGTTTTCAGACTACCATCCTCCCGTGGCTTGAATTTATTTGAACATCAGCAGCTTTTCTTCGTATTTCTTCCAGGTGTATTGCCTTCATGCCCTCTTCTGTGTTACTTATCATAGAGCTTGTATGTGAGTGTTTGATGTTGGAAACTACTCTGGGTGTTGTAGCCTGAGGTCACATGCTGCGACTCCTAGAGAGAGGGAGAGAGTGAGAGAGAAAGCCAGAGGGAGATGAATTGAATGAATAAACCAACAGATGTCATTATTGATTTCACAGCGGTAAAACCGATGCCATTACAGAGAATTCAGATCTTCTCATCTCCCGCGTCCACACTCCACCTCATTCTTAAAACTCGCTGGCAGGATTAGTGTTGACGCTCGGGGCTGAAAGCCTAATTCATTAACTGCTGGGTCAGATTTACTGCCTCTGTGTTTACATTGATTGTTTTTTTCTTTTGACATCACCACCGATGAGACGTTTTGCATAAGAGTGAATCATAAAAGCACACGACAGTGGGAAAAATCCACCTGCTGTTTTCGCCAGGATATTACTGCCATTTCTGAGATAAATGCTGAGTATACATTTATGTACGGCTAATGTTGACAAATATCTCTACTATTTACCATTGCAAGGCGTCATAAACCCCTTCTTTGTTGGAGTAGGTGAAACTTTTCCATCATCTATCTTTTTGAAGTGCAGTTCTTTAGTCCTCGCTTTTATTGTGTGTCAGTCTTTGTTCATTACTGTTGTCATTTCAGCGCTGCACTTCTCAAACATCCCCTGTCAAACAAACAGTGTGGGTGGTACTCCAGTGTCATTTCCTTAAAATTACAGTAGATGAAGTTTGGCTTTCTTTAAGTGTCATCACTTGTTCATGTTATTTTTCTCTGGAAGCAAGGAAACAGTGTCCAGACACCAAGGCTTTGGAATGGAATGTAAGACAAATGTAATGTAATATATAGTGTTAATGAGGTCACCAGAACAAAGTGCACAGGTCTTCAATTTCCCAACAACGCTTACTGGGAAAGTCAGTAATCAGTAACGTAATAAGTTAATAAAATATATATCTTTAACAACAGTACAATTATAAATGTGAATAATGTATGAATAACCAAAGCAAACCACAAACACACATAGGTAGTTTTAGTAGCAGGAGAGATGAGTGTCATGTTTTCCAGTGTGACAACAGTAATACACATCTACAGTGATTTGAGTCTGGCTTCTTGTCAAACACTAACCAACACACACACACACACACACACACACCACACACACACACACACACACACACACACACACCCAAGACACATGCATCACAGTGATACTTGAATGTCCTCTGTTGTGTTGCAGAGCGATGTAGTGTATCAGCTAACAAGCCTGCTGCTAAACCACCAACTGCACCACAGAAGTCGTAAGTATCTTTTTCTCCCTCTGACACACACGCACACACACACACACGCACACACACGCACACACACACACACACACACACACACAAACAGACAATTTCTGACCCGCTGCTGCTGCGCTTGCCTCCAGGTAAAAATTAAGCTTGATTCTTGGATGAAATTCACTGCTGGTAGGAGGAAAAAAAGATAGTGTGGATCAGAGCGGGAAAGTGCAGCTACATTAATTTAACGTGAGCCAGGAGCATATTGCAACATCTCTGGCTGCAGCCCACTCCACTTCACTCACACAGCTTTACAGCAGGATTCATAGCAGGGTGAAATTGGAAAGGCTGAAGCCTTGGCTTGTAAATCCACCTCACGACCCTGATTTATCTTGTGCTTGACCACAACAAGTTTAATGATTTTGTGTTAGAGATTGACAGGTCACTAAACACCTCCTCTGAAATCATTTCTTAGTAACTGCAACTACATAGTCACGGTTTTTACACTTTCCAAAAATCGAAGCACAAGAAAATACATAGGGAATGAATTTAACTGTGTGTCTGCTTAAAAATAATCTGTACGTGTTAGCATGTCCAGCTAACTAGCTATTTTACTATTTACACAAGTACGCAGCATTACTTCCAAGACAAAGGAGCATTATTTGCTAACTGCATTTTGTGGGATTAAAGATTACACTAAAATAAAGCCTTGTATATCATGCTGCACACATACTTTGTATTATTTTCCCACCGTCTGGTAGGTGGTCCAGGATGCTGTGATATCAGAGTGTAGGCTAACATTAGCATCCTGATTTTTTGTGAATGTCGGTAACTTTGCAATCCAGTAACTTCAGCCAAACATGTTATCCAGGATAGTGTTACATTAGCCAAACACATTGGTCAGTCCTCATCTAAAAGCCCTGTCTTGTAACAACTCAAAGGTGAAACATACAGATAGGAGAAGGTTTGTAAGCTAAGCCGCTAAACAGCTTTGTTAGAATTAATTAAGACTAATTTTATATTTAAGCAACATCACATTTGAGGGAATGCTGTTTTACCGAATATCAGGATGGCTGTGATTCAGTCGTAGATAATCACAGCCATGTTGATATTCAGTACAAAAGCTGATATTTCTTTTAAACAACAGTTTTGCCATTTATTAGTTGACAGTAATAAGCAACAGCAGATTATGATTTATTTATTTATTTAATCATTTATTTGACGCCACCAACACAAATTGTTGTAAGTGAACTCGGACTGGATTGTTGCCAAGGAACACGTAAACATCATAGTGCATGCTAGCATGCTGGTGTACATGTTACCATCGGCCAGCTACTTTATATTATGTACATTTGTCTGTATTTTTCCATTTATTATGAACCAGTGAGTGGCAGGTGTGTTTCAGTGAGTGAACAGCTTGAGCCGTACGTTGCTCCATCGTTTCCTGCTCTCCATGGATAGTCTCCAGTAACTTCTTACTGAGTTACTGAGTTTTCAGAGCTGAAAGACAAACAAGTTTTTTTTTTTTTTAGTATTCTCTGTATGTTTATATAAAGCATCTCACCTGTGCCCACTCACTGCCATGATCTCCTGTCTTGCATCAGACAGTTTCTGTATGGCAGTGGCTCTCAGGCTGTGGTTTGTGTAAGACTTACGTGTCCCTGCCTCTTTGTACATCCTGGCTAACATCTGTGACAGCTGGTTTACTCCCAGGGGAACAGTGGTATACCAGAAGCTGTCTGTCGCAGCTGTTACCCTGCTGGGCTGCAGATAGAGGGCCTTTGCACCAGGTGGAGTTTTCGCTCAGGTATTTTTCGATAGATGCTACTGGGCAGAGAGGATCGCCTGGCGGTCAAACATAGCGCCCCTTTGGTTTTCTCTCTCTTTCCAGTGGGTCTTTTTTTTTGTTGTTTCTTTGTTGAATGTCACAGTGAAATATTTTGGTCCATTCTCATCACGTTGTAGGATGAACGAGTCAGATTTAACATCCCAATTCCACTCTTCCTCTTGTTTAGTAAACCTCTAAGATTGTCTGGACTTGGTGTTGCAGAATATTTTAAGACGGGCTGGTCTTCAGGTGAAATCAGGGGTGGTGTGTTGTTTTGTCTTTCCCTGCCCTTCTGAGCTCTTATACATCACCTTTGAAAACATTATTAGCTGATATAAATTCAGGGTCCTGCATTAAATTCCATGAACAGCTAATCAGAGGCCTGAAGCCCAAGGTTGATGCTGATGCTGTAGAGCTCCCCTTTAGTTGTTTGGATTCATCCATAAAACTGCCTCAAGACTGTTCTCAGCCCGCTCTTCTTCATGGAATGAAAGTCGGTGTTTATATTTTTGAGACTTAGCCATGTCAGAAAGCTGTTCAGAGCCCCATGCTGTTTGCCTTTACAGTGTTGATGTCATATGAGCACACCTCGAGGTTTGCACTGAATTATCCAGGCGTCTTTCCTTCGTCCTCTCCTGACGACCAGTCATAACATAACTTGAATGTTATTTTTTGATATAGGCAAATGACCTTTAATGTAATTAACAGTTATTAGAACACCTGTAAAGCACAGTTATACATGTAGTTAGAAGTCCAGGTGATGTTATTCTCTATATCAGCACTCATTGAATGCCAACTAACTTTTAACAATGCCACGGTTATATTTTCATGTCATCAGATGTATCATAAACTAGTGAGGATGCTAGCCTCTTTCTGGGGGCAACACAGTAGCTTTAGCTTCAGTCTTTTAGCACCATATGAATATGTGAGTCCTTTTATAAGACTCTCATTTTAAAAAAACAAGTCAGCTAGAAACATTAAAAAATCATCCGGAAACAACATTATCAACCAAGCCATGCTGCTTACATTATCTTAATTGGCTAGTTGGCTACAGTTGATCAAATCTGCTAACAAGAGTTTTCATTTCACTCAGCGAGATAGTTTGAAAAGCCTGTTTTTAATTACGTCTGTCTGAAGTAAACATAGGTGGACAAAGTACACAACTGCATTACTTGAGTCAAAGTATAAGTTAAAGTTCAGTCAAATCAAATTCTCAAGTATTCAAAAGTTCATTTTTTTTTTATGTCAACACATTGTTGTGTTGTTCCACAAACCAATACTCAAGTATATTTTTGAGTAACTGTACTTAAGTAGATTACTCAAGTAAATGTACTTTGTTACTGTCTCTACTCTATTAAAATTGTCATTTGTTTAAGAAATGACTGTAACTTATCTCTGTAAAGTATAATGTACATATGTGAGAATGGAAAAGTTGACGTGTATCAACAGTAGGTAAGGTTGTTGAGGCTTCGCGAACAGGCGGTTATCCATTTGAATCACAGGACATTAGAGATGATACAGTTCCTCAGGGTTTGAGAGGAAGTGTCCAAATGTTTTGCTTCTTGTTTCATGTCTTTCTTCATCTGGGGAATTCAGGATTTTTGCTCCGTCCGCTGTCATATTACCCCTTAAACATTTGCTCAACATCATAACTCCTGTGTTACTACCTCTAATGAGAGTTTTCAAGTACCAAGTACAATGCATTATTTATACATTTGATGAAACCTAATTAAAAAACGGAGGGAAAATGTGTCAAACACATGGCTTTTGAAAATGAAGAAAGACCTGATGGCCAAAAGATGATGTAAAAATCCTGCAAGTAAAGAAAAAGTCAAGGCAGTCTTTAGTTAGCAGTAATTTAGCTGGATGGTTTGATTAAACCTCCAGGTCACCATGTAAACTCTCATTTCCTCCTCTTTGTGTATGTAGTTAAATAGTTAATTATATCTCCATTAGGATGATGTCTGCTGGAGCTGTAGTGCTTTTTGTGGCTTATTACTCTATTTTGTTTCCAAAGCCGATAAGCCTATTTCTTCTGATTACTATTGTATACCCTAAGGTGTAATTTTTTTTCCCATCGTGTATTCAAGCATAAATGCTGCTTTGTTTATTAGGGTGAAATAATTGTTATTGGTTACAAACAATGCCTAGTTTACTGCAGCCATTAGGCTATTCTCTGTTTTTACTGCGATGCTCAACAGCGTAAAATGTTCAGGATAATGAATAGGCCTACCTCGTCTTATTCAAGAGTAATTGTCCTGTTGAGGCTAATTGCTATATTTTTTGCTCAATGTTTACCATGTCTGACCATTACAGAAAACTCATCCAACAGTAATCCCTCTCAAATAGGCTCTGTACCTTAATGCCACATTAGGAATAAATCTAAGAGAATTTTTTTTCATTAGAATAGAGAGTGGAGAGCACACTCTACCTCCCTGCTCAAAGAGCTTTATTACGCTGACGAACATCCCAGAAACCCAGAGAACTCCTTGGTTTCTCGCACAGACCGGTCTTATAGTACTGCTGGACTTAATTCACAAGTTTGTTCAACTCCTAAGGCGCTAACACTACCAGGGTTATGGGTTCAGTTCCCCATGTGGCCGTCAAAACATGTTAACCCTGATGCCTTGTCACCATCAAACAATAGGTGAGCAGTCAGAGGAAGACAATAGGACAATAAGCAGCCAAAGTGTTATTGTGATGGTAATATACTTTAAAGGTCCCATATTTTACTCTTTTCTTGTGTTTTATTTGAAGTGTTGATCCACAGGAAGATATATTTGTGGTTTTAAGAACCAAGAACCATCTCAGTGTAGTTTTACATCCCCTCTCCCAAGCTTCTGTCTGGAGCTCTAGTAACAACAGGTCAGTCAGCCAATCAGAAGAGAGGAGGCTCTGAGCCGCTTTTCTGATCGGCTGACAGTTTTCTGAGTGATCTAATAAAAATATAGCAGATTTCAGGTAAAACACTCAGAGAAACCAGGAAATAGGTCTGATGGGCAAGTGCTTGTCTAATACATTTATGTGTAAACCACAATAAGTCTTTTTACAATATAGATATGCATGATATTTTCCGTCAGTATTAAGGGGCAGTATGAATGTTAATAGTTCTTAAGGCCTCAGCTAAAACGTCACACTGAAAAGAAATCTTCAGAGCATCAGACATACCACTCCTGAACTTTTGTCCGTGAGACTCATAATTGTTACATTTAATTTCTCCAGAACAACATCCAACACAGCAAGTATTCAAACATACATTCATTAGTAATTCATGGAAACACAGGGATAAAGAGAAAATGACAGACTTGCAGAAAGACCCCAAAAGCTTGTGTTTTAAATGTGTATGTTGTTCCAGACTGCTGCAGAATAATGAACCACAGTAGTGGTATTCAACCTCGATCCAGTTCCAGTTTTTTACATTTGTGTTTCTGGCACTCGCGTCCTTAGACCAGTGGTTCCTAACATTTTTGGCTCGAGACCTCTTGAAACAAGACAGTGTCTACTTTCAACCCCTTGTCACCAGTTGCACATGTCTTCTGACCGAAGCCAGCTCAATCACAGACTCATTTTTTCCCCCTTGTTCTATTTGAGTAATTTTAGAAGGGAAATTCTCCAGTAATTCACATGGAAAAAGCAAAGATCAGAAAAACAGCTAAAAATTGAACATAATTTTGTGCCACAGAAATCTCATTTTCATCACCCTGTGACCCAGAGGTTTGTCTTCATGCCCCTTGTTGAGATCTCAACCCCATCATAGGAACCGCTGCCTGACGGTGATCTTGCAGAAGCAGAACAGCAATGATCGCTGTGCTGCTGTAATGGAGTGAAGAAATGATAAATGAGAGGAGAACATTGATTTAAATACAAAGAGACAAGAAGCAGAGGGGGCCAGAAAAGGCTGTGAGCTGGTCTAAATATTTGAGTCTTGATTGTGGACAGTAATACAGAGACATTGGCAGGAGCCTTGTTTGGCTTAAGAGTTCATCCAGAAAGCCAGCAGAGAAAAAAATGATGTGCGCATTTTGTTTTGCAGTCTGAGCACATGTGCATTTGCAATTCTCTTACACCCTAGTGTTGAGCAATTAGTCATTAGCTGAGGGTGGCTTTGATTTGGCTTCGGAAAATATTAACATCCTCTCAGACAACCTTCCGCCAGTAGGAAATAAAGTCTCCATTTTATGAAGGCAACTAAGAGCATCTGCACCTTCTGAAATTTGATGCAGTGCTTTCTAAGCTCTGCATGTCATGGATGCTTCAGTCCATAACTCATTTACATCTGATTGCATCTGTCCTCATAGATGCTCATTCTCTCTGTTGCATTTTATTCCTTTCCCCTTCCATGCTTCCCTTCCTCCCTCTCTCTCTCTCCCTCTCTCTCCCTCTCTCTGTCCCCTTCTGTCTTCTCTTCCCCATCATTATCATCTCCATCTCGCTCACTATCTCCCTCTCTCCATCTGTCCCCCTCTTATGAAATAAAATATGAATCCATTATTCATTCATTCAAACATATCTATCATCGCCGCGTGCTGCACTGTGCCCCTTATCTGCAAAGCTTTTTCTTATTGTGCTTCAGTTATTCACGACTCACACGGTCCCATCTGAAAACACCATAACACTGGGGAGTGTTTTTTAGCGGTGCAAGCACTGACAAGAGTGGTTCGTGAGGCAGTAAAAATCCCTTTAGGGGATTCACCTGTCATAACAATAGCAGTGCCAGCTTAAAATAACAGTAGTTTGTGTGGAAGGTTTATATAAAGCAATAAAACACGGGAACTTGCCAATGCACAGCACATAAATACTGAATAATTTGTGTGGTAAAGAGCAGGTGATGCTGTGAGGGAGGCCATGTTATCAACTGTGTCTTGTATATCTATTTCATAGCCTGTATACATCTATATTGTTGGAGTTTGATCTCGAGCTTCGGGAGAATAAAACAAACACAACGAATAGAGCCCTTTCTTTTCCCCAGTTACAAGCCCCTAAAATATCCATGTACAGACCCGACCGAGAGACTGATCTCGGCCGAGCACGTCCTCTATGTTTCCAAGGAATTCTTGGCTGTAGGTCAGCAGTTGTCAGACAGAAAATTTCCAGGTGAAAAAACAATCTGGCTTCGCTCTTCAAACTCTAAAAGCCGAACATCTGGTGAGCAGCGAAGTGCTCCATCCACTGTCCACCGCCTCATTCCCCAACATGAACCGCGGGCGCTGCTTTTGCTGTGTAATTAATCCGTTTGCCAGAAAAAGGTTCTTCAGAGGGAGTTGCAGATCATGACTTGCCGTATGCGACCTGATGCGAGCAGACGGGAGGTCACGGCTGCAGTAACACGTGTCTCTTTGTCTCTGTGCAGGATGTTGGAGGATGACCTGAAGATCAGCAGCGACGAGGAAGAGGCCGAACAACAGGTGAGCTCCCTCTGCGGTCCGTCCGTTCCGTTCCGTTCATTCATCCCTCGCTCCTGCTTTCCCTGCGTCTGTCCCTCAGTCGTTCATCCATTCACGTACATTACATGACATTCATCTGTGACATTTACTGATTCACTCTTGTCCAGAAATCAATTTAACCCATGTTTCTGAAAGCAGCCGTTCGCCATTCATCCCTCTACTCGTTTACTATTTCATCAGTGGATCCGTGCGTCCAATCACTCTCAGTCACTTTCTATATATCTGTACATCTCTGTTAGATATTTAACCCTTTCAGCCCCTGGTGTTTTTCCATACTCCCATTTATCTCCATTTGTCTCTTATTAGCGTCAAATATGAAGGTATCACACATTGTCTTTATCAGGACACCCAGGGCTAAAGAGAGAAATATTTGTGAATTGCCTTCAAAATTCATGATGGATTATATATAAATAACATTTGTCAAGAAAATGGTTTTAGGTGAAACTGGCAGCAGCTACAGGACGAGCAGCTATAACAGGTGACAGGTGACAATGTCAAACATTCACTCAAAGTAACTTTCACTTATATTTTACCCCCGTTAAACAATAACAGTGGGGTTTCTGACATTGGTGTCAGGTGAAGAATCAACATCTGGAATGTCAATACAAAAGCATCATAACCAATATGTAACAGTCAATTTAGTGAACTCTCTACAGCAGGGCTTTTCAATTACAGTTAGACAAAATTCCCTCAAGCAAAGGTCTGCAAGGAGGGTGCACAGGACAAAGATGAAGAATCTCAACACATCTAAACAACTGAACAGCTTTAACACGTCTCTTTCTCGTCCCCCCCCCCCTTGTTTCTCCAACGCCGTCTCTCCTCTCACAGCGTGTGCATATCTCACTGACCAGCGTCAGTAGCGAGTAGCGTCACGTGAAGGCTGGAAAAGCTGCGCTGGTTAATAATTCTCAATAATTTATAGGTTATATGTGCGGATACAGATCTGCCTGTTAGTGACCAGGTCATTTGCAAGCCTTGCCTCAACAGTGGCCGTAACACTGCCGTTCTACTGTGACTGACAGAGTTAACAAGTATTATGTGGAACAATATATGACAATCATCACAAGGCAAACACACATTCATAAGTTCTTTGCAGGTGCGAGGTCTCAATAATCTGCATAAGATGACAAAACCCTGCACATCATCCCTGAACAAGTCATGTTTAATGTTACAGTCATGTTCCTTTAAACGTACGTAGGAACTATGGATGGAAATTCCAGAAAAACGTTTACACTGAAGTTGTTAAAGGTTTAGGTGTAAGAGCTCAAATTTCCTCATGTAAACACTGTGGAAAAAGGTTCCTCTTTCCTACAAGTGCCTTTCGACTACCCTCTGCTTCCAGGAACTATCTTGTAGAGCCGGGAGTTTACACTACCAGACACAAGTGTATACTTTGTACTAAAGTGATACTTTCCCTTAAATGAGCTTTTCTCAGGCAGGAACTGGAGGTGACTGTTCTCTGTGATACCAGCCACTGGCCTGATTTCCATCATGGAGGCCTGATGCATTGTGAATGAAACTATTAATACATTTACCTATTTAAAAAAAATTAAATAAATGAATAGAATTGAACTCTGACTAATATGATGCATTATAAAACTAAGTGAACAAAAATTGAAAAAGATGAGGATCCACATCCGTTTTTGACTTCGGAAACTACAGCTGAGAAAACAATCTCACAACAAGGTCCATTTAGCAACCGTTCTGGAGCTTTCAGATCAGAGCTGCCCAGTTATCATGGAACTGTAGAAGTTCAGATTTACATTGTCTTTGAGCACGTCAAGGATTTCTTGACGTGCTTGAAAGTTGAGTTGCCGGAACAGCTGCTAAAATAATTGTGGTGAGATTGTTTTCTCAACTGCTGTTTGATTCCTTCCTTACTTACTTCCTCACTAAAGTTTTCACTTTTTGTTATTTCATGTCATAGTTTGTTTCCTACTTTAACATTTGTGTCTCTTTTTGTCTCTTTGTGGTCGTTTTCTGTCTCTTTGCAGTTGTGTGATTGACTTTCTAACAAGAAATGTTTCATTCATTCATTTCATTTTCATTTCAAAAAGGTTTTGTAATGTATCATTTTAATGCTAATTCAATTAATCAATTTATAATTGCTTTATTAAATAGATTTAACTTATTAACTGATTATTATTAAACATGGTCCAACAAGTCATTTCCAGCGGCTGTAAGAAACACCTGCGATAGAGATTACAGGTCAGGATTTTGACCTTTGTAAGGCCGTACCTGCTACATCACTGAGGTGCTGGTGTATCAGCTCATTCGCTGTGTCCACTGATGGAGGAGATGTCACTTAGGGACACTTTGCATATGAGTGGTGCAGTTGTGCTGCTCCTCTTGTCTTGTTTTCCAGTATGAAAATTGGCATGGTGGCCCTCTCTCCTCTAATCACCATCATGCACTAATGATGCCAGAGATGAGTTCAAAGCAGTCAGTGGGGGTCGTGCGGCTGCCCCCTCCCCCACTGTGCAGACTGATATCAGCGCTCATCAAAGAGTCCGTGAGATATTTTCTCTTAATGAAAAGATAGCAATTCCTCTCATTCCCTTTTAACTGGCCCTCTGATTGTATAATTACCATGATGGCAGATATTATAATTATAAATGATGGCAGGTCATTTATGGTGGTTTTAGTTATTATAATTATGCTAAAAGTAGATCTGTTAATTACAGATAGTTAGCGTGCATTCAGAATTGTAACAAGTGGCTCCCTTAATCATAGTGCTTATATATGATTACTCTGAGTATTAGGATGAATGGGATACAGTTCATTCTTCTTTGTCTGTCTCCCTCTCCTTAAAGATGTATGTGTCCCTGTGTTAACTGTTCAGTTATATTTGCCAAATATACTTAACATGTTTCTACTTTTAAGTGTTTTATATCAAATTTTTGTATCCTGTAAAAAAAATTGAATATTTCTGATGACTCATCTTAAACTCAGAATGTATACATACAGTTATCCAATCAGATTTGACTTGGGGCAACTAGTTAACCCCGCCCATCATATAAAACCACTCCTGACTGTTAGCTTATGGGCTGTAGCTACTAGCATAGCAATAGGAGATGTGTGTTTAGATGTCAGTCTCTACACATCTCCTCCTTCTGATCCAACAGTGTGGGTGATGGAGGTGTGGGTGGAGGTGATCGGTCCTCTACAGCTCTGTATCACTACATCTGCTAAGCCACACCCACTTTGAAGTGATCCATTCACAGCTGAAGGATTTATTTGAAATGCATGTTTAACTTTGCTCCCCTCTGACTTCCCCCCTGTGTCTCGCTCTCTGCAACTATCAAAGTTAAAGGCAAAAAATGCCAAAAAAAAAAAAAAAAGAAATCCTCCATGTCACTGTGTCTGTGCTGTTTACTGTGTTTAACGTGGTGACATCGCTAAAAACAGGTCAGAGGAACATGAGCAGTCAGATGATCAGACAGGCTGTAAACAAAGAGGGAAAACAAAGGTTCACCCAAACTCTCTGTTATAAACATCTCACAGTTCACACACCGACTTTCTGGTTCAACTCTGACCCACAGTGCTTGCTATAGCTGTGCACCCTCATGCTTTTCCTGTGTAATGAGGGTTTGTTATTAACATTTGAAGCCTATTTGTTTTTGGTTTCACCCTAATATAAAACAGTAGCTTATTTGGCTAACGTGTCGGCTTGCTTACAGCCTGTCCCAGCAGCTACTTTTGGTGAGCACAGTGTTATGATAACTGACTGCCCCAGCTACATAGACATAACCTTTATAATTTACTATTCCCTTCCCTTTGAAGAATATGTTCACACACTTGTGTGCGGCATCTCCGGCTAGAGCCTAGATATCCACGCACAGCTGGCGAGCACAGTTTTGATCATCCGTACAGACGCAGTGTTACCAAACCTGGCAGCATCACTGTGACGACAAGACTTTGCTAAATGTTTCCCAGTCAGAGCGCTGAGCTGCAGTTCACCACAAAAAAGAACAGGTTACACAAAATCATTTAATATGTCAATAAGTCAATAAGATGACAGAGTCAGGCTTAACACAACTGAGGTCCAAGAGACTGTGACTCCGCTCTGCGAGCTCCTACAAGCCACGAGCTCACGACCAAGTGCAGCTTTATATGACAGGGGTTGGATCTGACTGGATAGCCTTCATTTCATAAATGCCCTTGTGTTTAAATTGAGTCATCAAAGTTTCACTGAAAGAGAAAACAGACTGAAAAATGTTTTGTTGACTTACATTTGGCATTTGCTAAGAGATAACCGTACAGTGAACACAAGCACACAGGAGTCGGACTTGGAAAATGTTTGTAATATTTTTTTTATTTCACTGTGTCTTCTGTGGAAAGAGAGTGTTTGTGTGTGTGTGTGTGTGTGTGTGTGTGTGTGTGTGTGTGTGTGTGTGTGTCTGTCTGTGAAGAAGTGAGTTTCCCAAAATGTTGAACTATTCTTCTGAGTGTCCCTCTCTCTCTCTGTATTTTTATCTTGTCGTCCATCTCTTTCATTTTGGATGACTGTGTGAGATGGAGATGGAGCGTGATTAAAATAAACAGAGAGGAAAGTGAGAAAGAAAGAAAAGAAGTGAATAAGTTAGTGGGACAAAGAGGGAAAGAGAAAGACAAAGACAGACGAGACAGGCTGATAACGCAGACGAGAAAGATGAAAAGAAAACAAGAAGAGCAAGCTAGAGACAAAGAAATAGAGAGAGAGAGAGAGAGAGAGAGAGAGAGAGCAGGATGAATTCAGTGGCATTTTTCTGTGCATGCTGTTAACAGGCTTATAGCAAATGAGTGCATGGTGTATTATCTAGCTTTTATAGCCTGAAGTAAAACACAACACACACACACACACACACACACACACACACACACACACACAATCACAATCAAATACACAGATGTGTTTGTATTACACACATGCACCCATATACACATATAAGCATATCCAGTGTAGCCATGCAGACTTACAC